GTAAACTTTTTTAAATTATTTATTTTTTACTTTAGTTTCGTCCATAAATTACGTTACGCAACTTTCGACCGTTTTAGAGCCCCTCCCCATCACCCCTTCCCCACCCCCTTGCCCTCTTCACAACGTTGTAACTCATTTGTAACAAATTCGGTATGAGTCATCACGAAAACACTGCCTTTACTCCCTCACTAAATCGTGACGTAGTTTATGCACGACCCCTTTTGATTACTAACTATCACTTTTTTAATAAAAGTGTCATTTTGTAATAAATCATTCAGTTTAATGACCAAAAAATAACTGATACCAATATTTAAGCCAGTGAGAATTTAAAATTTGAAAAAATATATATATTTTTTGATTGTTTGGAATTATTTAAATAATATAAATAAATATATATTTTTACATAATAACATATTGGTTAATTATGGCAGTTACAATAAATCAAGTAAAAAAAAACGATACAAAAAATGTTTAAAGAATTTAAGAACAAAATAGACGAACATAATGAAGCAGCAGGAAAAAAACATGTTAAACATTATATATACACAAAAATTGTATATGATAGGTTAGATAAAGTAGATCTAAGGGTTAATTATTATGCAAAACAAATAAGGAAATTTCAAAAAAAAGTAGAAGAAATCAAACGAAGCTTAAACTTTAACGAACACCTTTTTGAAGAAAAAATTAAGACCACATTTACTTCTCAGGAAAAAAAACATACATCTGGCATTGATACGCTTAATCATAATTCCGCCTATGCCTAATATAAAAAGTAAACAAACAGAGATGGAGGATAGATATCGTAGAAGCAATTTAAGAGCTGACGGGTTAAAAGAAAACGAACGCGAAACGTGTGTTGACAGCGAATTAAAAGTCAGTAAAGTTTTTGAAGAGCATTTGGGATTAACAAATATTCGGATTGAAGGAGCTCATAGAACTGGCCAGAGATATATGAAAAAACCAAGAACAATTGTAATAAAACTGTTAGATTATAAAGATAAAGTTGAAATTTAAAAAAAAACATCTAACTTAACAGGTAAAAATATTTATATTAACGAAGATTTTTGTGCCGAAATTGTCGCAATTAAGAAAGCTCTACGGGATCAGATGAAGGTTGAACGAGTGGCTGGAAAATATGCATTCATCTCTTACGATAAGTTGGTTATTCGGGATTGGGCTGCAAACAAAAGTAAAAAATTTTCTTTGTAACATATTTATATATACTACAATTTTGTTTTACTTTTTATATATTACATTGTTTACTTAAATTAATTTTTCTTTTAAAAATGGAGGCCAATTTTTTACTTAATTTAAATGATGAGAATGCTAGTGATAATAACTATTTTAATGGAAAAATTTAGAAAGCAAGTATTATTCAATTTCTGAATCTACTCAATATTTCTGTCAAAAAAAAAAATACATTTTCTATTTTAAATGTAAACATTCGAAGTATTAACAAAAATTTCGAAAATCTCAAACTTTTATTGCATCAACTAAACCACAAATTTAAAATAATTTGTTTCACAGAAACTTGGCTCAAAACCAACGAAAAACTTCAAACTTTGAGTTAAGTAATTATATATCCGTTCAACAACCGCGTTTTATCTAAGCTGCTGGTGGTGTAAGTATTTTTGTCCACAAATTAATTAACTTTATTCTACGTCATGACCTCAATGTTAATGAAACTGATTGTGAGTCGTTGTGCACAGAAATTATAAACAAAACCACCAATAATATTGTAATTAATTCTACTAACAGACAACCAGCTGGTTGAAAATTTAAAACTTATCTAACAATTTTTCAACAAAAACTAGTATAACCCGGAAACATTTTTACTTAGCTGGTGATTTTAACTTTAATTTGCTAAATCATGCTTCAAATAAAAATGTTCAACATTTTCTAAATACTCTTATCAAATATAACCTATTACCAACAATAAATAAGTCAACGAGAATAACTAAGACCTCATCGTCACTTCTTGATAATATAATAACAATTTATCATATAAAACTAACAATTTTCAAAACAGCCGTTTAGGAACAGGCATAATCAAAACTGATTTAACTGATCACTTTCCAATACTCTTAATTACTGATAACATAATCCTAAATAATGTCCTTTCAAATACTACAATCTTAACACGACAGATCTTATGACAGATTTTACAATCCCATGAAGTCAGTACTGCATATGAACTATTTTTACCGCTAATCTGTTAACAGCATGACATAGCTGTTAAAAAAAAAAAAAAAAATACAAGTTTCTTTTAAACCCCTGGATGACCAAGGAATAAATAAAATCATCAATGAAAAAGCAAAAACTTTATGATAAATATTTAAGATATAAAATATATACAAATGAAATAAACTACAAAAACTATAAAAAATTATTTGAAAAAAACAAAAAACACTCTAAAAAAATTTATTATGCAAAGCTGTTAGAAAAAACCAACGGCATCACTAAAAAAAGTGGAATATAATTAAACAAATAATTGGTAAAAACAAATGTGAAAAAATAATCTCCCAAAAAAGCTTTTATTTGAAAGGGAAAAGATTTATGATTATAAAAAAAAATAGCTGAAGATCTCAACTCATTTTTTCTCGAAGTAAGGCCAAACTTGGCGAGTAAAATTCCGTCAAGTACCACAAAGTTTTAATCTGATTTTAAATCATGTTCTATTATGGAGAATCTAATTTAAATCTGAGCGAGAAAAAGAATGCTTTTAACAGTTTTAAAAGTAATAAAAGTGTGGCCATTGACAAAATTAGTGTGAAAGTTGTAAAGTCAGTCTTCGATATCATTGAACCGTCATTATCTCCGTCATTATGTCATATTTTTTATCTTTCATTAAAACTAGGTGTTGTGCCGAAAAAACCTAAAGTTGTCATAATCATTCCCATTTTTAAGTCTGGTTACAAAACTTATATTAACAACTACAGACCTCTTTCTGTTTTACCCTGATTCTGAAAATTATTGGAACGAATTATGTGCAACAGATTTTACAACTATTTGATGTTAAACAGTTTGCTGTACACTAAATAGTATTAGTATTATTTTATTAGTTAACTTGTGAGATTTAGTATTTTACAATTATTTTCAACTTTACAAAATCTTTTGCTTACGTCTGTTAATAAGCTAAAGTCACATACAACAAAATTTTAGACAAAAACAGAGAAATACTCCATTTGGTATACATAAAAATATTGCTACATGGTTTGTTTTATTCAAGATATAGACAACCAAGTTAGCGTATAAACAAAGCTAACATTCATTGACTATATATGTTGTTTTACTTTTTTATATTAATTTTTAATATATAAAGTTTTTATTTTTATTAGTTATTATTTCTTTTAATTTTAAGTTATTATTACTTTTAATTTAAAGCTAATCTTAGCTGACTTATTTTTTTCAGTAATATTTTGTTGTTAAGTTAGAGGGGCTACGAAATAAAAAATTGTGAAACGCATTAGTTTTTTTTTTTTTTTTTTTTGGTTGTTTATTAAAATTTCTTATTCTTTGATTGTCTATTAAGGTGGGCTGAAAAATAAAAAATTTAAACAAATCGAAAAGTGTTCCTTTCAAGGCTATTTGTAAAACTAATACTAGGCTATTTGTAAAACTAGCCTAGATACTAGGCTATTTGTAAAACACAATAACAAAGTAAAAAGTCAGAGGTTACCAGCTTTAGCCAACCTACTTGGAATTTGAATCCTAATATATAAATTTTTTGGCATTTTCATCGGTTAAAAATGCAAAAAAAATTATAAATGCGTTATAAAACAAACTACAAACATCAATTACCAAATAATCAACCAAGCATCAATTACATCAAATACTAAATAATGCAGAATTAAATTAAGAACATTGTTTATTGAAATAACATTCTAAAAACTTTATTGTTGAAGTTATAGCTAAACATCTAAGTTTTTATCGTTTTTTAGTTGAAATAGTGGCATATATTACAAAAATATGATAATGGATACTTTCAATAGTTTACATCTATGTTCAAACTAACTATCAAGATGCAAAATCCTTACAACTGTAGTATTATTTAGATATAAAACGCACACAAACAAATTAAAACATTACAATTTAAAATCTCTTTTGGATGCGAAATTTTTATTTAACTTCCTGGATCTAATTTTATTTCGAATAACTCCATCTTTGATTGTGTCTAACCACTGAAGCTTTTTTAACGGGTTTTACATGTTTTTTTACATTTTGACTGTGATACTCATATCTTAACTTAAGTGGTTTTTCAATGAAGTCAAGTATTCTATCTTCTTTAATTAGTTTTAATACTTGTGGAATTGTGTTCCATTAATAAATTGAGGTCATTTTTATAATAACATACAGCTTTCAAATGAATATTGGGCTTTAGAAACTTTCTTACATCTTCATTGATTAAGGGATAATCACTTGCACTAATATTGGCTTCATTTTCATCATTTATTTCAACCATTCCCCGTACAAAACCATCTTCTTTACCATGAAAGTCTTCTATGAGGCCTTTTAAATGCAAAATTTTAAATAAAGCGTTCTCTTTCTGACTTCTTCATCCATGTCAGATATCATTCCAATGAAAATATTTTTACTATGAGCAAAATAACTGTTTTTATTGCTAACTTTATTTACAAATGTTTTTAGGATTTGAATCAGTAAATTTATTGATTCGTTGAACCACATTAAATAGACTTTTGGGACCATCATCAAAATATTTAATAATCTTAATATCAAACCAAGTAGGAAATCATACTTTTATAATAAATTCTGCAATAAGCTTTAAATTTTTAGTAGGTTTGGAAATAGAGACCGCAAGGTTCTGCATGTTAATGTTACCTACGAGAATGGTGCATAGGTCCAACTTCTAAAAAGGCTAAATCATTATCTATGCTTCCCGTGATTACACTCAAACAGATGAGATAAGTATAGCATTGGCCATCATTAACTTTTTTGTCTATTATGACAAATTTTAAGTTTGGAATTGGTCTAAACTTTGC